TTGAGCCCCCATGGGTGGTGCTGGGGTTTAGGTCCAGCACAGACAGACCCCCTGGGCTGCCCATTAGGGTCCGTTTTTGGGGCGATCAGGGCCACCCACCCCAGGGTCCCCCAACACCACCATCCCCCCCCATTCCCGGGCAGCCTCACCTGGCTGGGTGGGTGATGGTGGTGGCAGCTGGAGAGGTGGCCGGGCCAGGTTGGTCACTGCTATTTGTAGGGCTGGAGGGAGGTGACGTTGGCCATGTCACTGCTCCCAGGGGGGGGACAGTGACCTCACCCACGGCATCCACCTCCCCTTGCCAGCTCTGGCTTCTCACCACTGGGCTCAGTTCCTGAGGCAGCTCTTGGTGGAGCCAGGAAAGGGACAAATCTATCCCAGCTGGTCCCCAGCCCCACGGACACCAAGACCCTCTTGGTGAAGGGTGGGAGTGACTTAAACGCTCTGTGCCTCAGTTTCCCGACTTGGTGGGGTTGGAATGTTGGGCTGGATTCTGGCAATGGGCACACAGCCCAAAGCCTCCAGCTCTGGGAATGTCACGGAGCCTGGGAAAGGGGCTTAGGCAGGATCTGGCCCCGGAGGGTCCCCAGCAGCTGCTGGTGTCTCTGCTGTTTGCAGCTGGACAGGGCGGGATGGGGCCCCAGCAGATGCTGCAGTGAAAGGTCAGGGTAGGTCCCCACCTCCCAAAAATTCCTCCATCCCTGCAGCAATCCTGGGAAAATCTCCTTTTGGGGTGTCCCCAGGGAGAGTAGCAGTGCTGGGTGGGCAGCCCCACTCCCCTCTCATGCTGGGGGGTCCCCACTTCTTTTGGGGTTGGGGACGTTTTCTTCCCGATGGTGATTCCAGCTTTTGGCCAGAAGCTTCCCAGGTTCAGGAGCTCATCAGTTCATTAACGTAAAAATTAACGAGTTCAGCAACGAAGCGACGAGGTCAAGGCCCAGGAGGGGGTGCAGGTCATGGAGTGAGATGGTGGAGGTCATTTCTGGGGGGTGTTTGGGGCTGCTGGTGGGGAGGTGTCCCCCTGGCCACCTGCCCCTGCTGCCAGCCACATCCTCTGGGAATTCCCACCCCGCTGGGAACACCGTGCTGGGAAACCCAGACAGAGGTGAAACCTCTGCTCTGAATCCAGTTCTCCCAGTGCCTGCAGTGTGTGGGGGGGTGGAGCTCCCCCAGATCAGCAGGACGTGCCCCCCCTGCCCTGCAGGAGGAACAAGGAGGGTTTGGCCTCAGCCACCTTGTGATAAAAAACAAAACAAATAAACCCTATTAGCCTATTTTTTAATACAGAGGTGCTGCACCTTGGGGCCCTCTGGACTTTTCTTGACCCTCAGGACCCTTCTTGTGCCCTGGCCCATCCCCAGCATTTGGGTTTCCTTGGATTTGTCTTCTTCTTCATTTTTTTTGCCTCCTGCTCTGATAACCCAAATTCATCTCCGTCATGGAGCCTTCACTGGGGAAAGGAAAGAAGAGGAAAACCTCTCAGAATTCTCTGGAGGGCAGCAAGAGCCTCCCTCAGGCTGGAGGAGGATCTCCCTTGACTTCAAAAACCTGTGAGTGCTTTAGCAGGGCCCATCTGGAGACCTTCCTGAGGTTTTAAACTGCAAGAGTGTAGGTTGAGGTTGGACACAAGGAAGGAATTATTTACACCAAGGGTGGTGAGACCCTTTGCCCAGAGAAGCTGTGGCTGCCCCATCCCTGGCAGTGTTGAAGGGCAGGTTGAATGGGGCTTGGAGCAGCCTGGGCTGGTGGGAGGTGTCCACTAGATTAGATGCTCTTTGAATGTCCCTCCCAACCCAAACCATCCCATGATTCTGTGATTCACATTTGCAGATGGAACCTCACCCAACCAAGAGCAAGAAGACACCTCAGTTACATTTACTTGCCCCTCACCCCTCTGATTGGCATGTTCTTCAAGCTCTGCTCCTTTCCCCTCCCAGGTTTAGGACCATGCACACCCTTCCCAAGAAGCAGAAGCACAGGAACATTGCTGGCAGGGACCTCCAAGGTCTCCCATCCAACCTCCTGCATGGGAGCAGGACCAACAGCAAAGCTAGATCAGGCTGCTTGGAGCAACCAGCTGAGTTGTGAGGGTGTCCATGGGCAGATCTCAGCAGCAGGAGAAAGAATCTGAAATCTCCTCCAGCACCTAGGGATGGAAGTCCCCTGGCCCAAGGATTGAGGCAAGAACCTGCAGTAGGTTCTGCATCAGCAAAGGTGTGTGCTGTGTAGCCCTGAGGTCCCTCCTCCCTGCTCCCATGCCTGGAGAAAGCCTGGTTGTCTCCTCTGGAACACAGGGCTCTTCTCCCCAGATTTCATCCACATTTTCAGGAGCACTGAGGGTACAGAGAAGAAAATAAAAGAAGAAGACAATAAAAGATGAAGAACCTATTCTCTGAAATACCAGAATTTCCCCACATTGTTTGTTCCCTGGAGCATGGCCAAGATCTCCTGGGTTGCTCCAAGGCTTCTCTGCTGAGAGGTGGAGGTTGCTCTGATGGTTTAATTTTAGAGCTGGGGAATGAGGACACTGGCACAGGGAGTGTGGGGAGGAACAGACATAACCCCAGCCAGATGTGTTTGAGATGGCTCCAAAACTGCTCTTTTGCTGCTGTCACGGACCCAGAGAAGGGAAGGGTCCAGGTGACACTTGGGAAAGGACACAACAGGTGAGAACATGGAGCTTGGAACACGTGGAGCCACTTTCCCCTCCAGATGGAACCCCCAGGCCCCTTGCAGCAGCACCCCTCCCTGCAGGGAGCCCACGGGGACAGCTGGGCCACCACCACCACCACCCAGCACCATAACCCCTGTGGAAGGGCTGAAAATCCACCACCAAATATGGGCCATTTCCTTCAGGGACCAAAACCCTTTGGTTTTTCTGGAGAGGGTTTTTTTGGGGTGGGGGGGTTTGAAATCCCAACTCTTCCCTTGCTGTGGCCGTGACAGTTTCCAAACCAGCAGCACGTGGTGGCCTGACCCTGAAGGAGGAAACTTTCTTGCTTTCCACACCAAAATGAGGATGTTTCTCTATTAACACACACACAGAATAAGCTTCTTTGTTGTTTTTTTTCTTTTCTCCTTTTTTTTTTTGTTATTGAAGAGCTGACCAGCAGAAAAATGTGAAACCATTTCCCTGCAGGTCTGGAAAAAAAAAATCAACCACCAAAACCACCCTCCTTGTGCTCTTGGGGTGGTGGGTTTTGGTTTGGTTGGGTCCTTCTTTTTTTTTTGGATGAGATCCAGGAGAACTTTTTCTTCTTTTTTGTTTGGTTTTGTAAGAAAACAAATAATAAAAGAGGCTTTACTCTTTCCAGGAAAACAAACAAACAAACAACAAGTTAGAAACAAAAGAACAGCCTGTCCCAGCTCTCCAGAAGAGAGAGGGTGTGAAAATATGAATCCAAACATCACGCTGTTTAATTCCCAAATAAAACATTGGAAAAAAAAAAAAGATCATAAAAGGAGGCAACAGTATCTGCACTAACACTTTGCTACATATAAAATCTCCAGCTAATATGAAGCTTAAGGTACCAACCTCTAAAACAGTTAAGATATATACACATAATTTTTCTTTTCTGGGGGGGAGGGGTATATTAACAAACAGAATATTACAAAATATTAAAGAAGGCAACTCTGCTGTCGTTTTGTTTGTTTTTTTTTGGGGGGGTGTGGGTTTGTTTTGTTGGTTGTTGGGTTTGTTTTGTTGTGTTTCTTCACTTGAAGTTGGCGTAGTCTGAGAAGGCGTCGATGTATTCCTGCACCACCTTGTAGCAGAATTCGTACTGTTCCTGTGGGGTTGGGGGAGGGAAAGGGGTTAGGACAAGGTGCAGAACCAGCTCAGATGTTGTTCTGTGCTTGGTGGTCTGCAGGGAGCTGGGACCAAGTGTGGGCAGGGGTTCTCAGCCCAGCCTGAGGGCAGGAACTGGGTGCCCACTCATCAGCGGGTCCCACCTCCTTTGTGACCCTCAAAGATCATGGAATCACAGGATCACAGAACTGTCAAAGTTGGAAGGGAGCTCTAGAGATCACCCAGTCCAGCTTCCCTGCTAAAGCAGGATCTCCCAGAGCACATTACCCAGGGCTGCATCCAGGTGGGTCTTGCACATCTCCAGAGAAGGAGACTCCACACCCTCCCCGGGCAGCCTGTCCCAGGGCTCTCTCACCCTCACCCTAAAGAAGTTTCTCCTCATATTTCCATGGCACTTCCCATGTTCCAGCTTGTGCCCATTGCCCCTCGTCCTGTCCCTGGGCACTGCTGAGCAGAGTCTGGCTCCATCCTCCCTGCACCCACCCTGAGATACCTGTAGGCACTGATAAGGCACAGCCTTCTCTTCTCCAGGCTGAGCAGTCACAGCTCCCTCAGCCTTTCCTTATCAGGGAGATGCTCCAAAAATCTGGCTGCTCACCCTCCTTGCTGGGGTGCCACCAGCAAAAGAAAGTCTGCTTTCCCCTTCCTCTCAGAGGTTCTATTTTGACTCAAAAAAAGACTTTTTCAAATCCCTGAGCATTCTTGCAAACCCCTCTTGCAAGATCTCATCTAGTCCTGCCTGCTCCTGCCCTCCCCACCACACTGCCTACCCGTGCCTGTGCCACAGCCACTCCAGGAGAGCCTTCCAGGCTCCTGGAGCCCATAAATACATGGGTTGTGGTTTAGGATGTCTCCAAGGAGGCTACTACAGCTTGTGCCAGTGCTCAAGAAGGGCTTGGTGCCTTCAGCCAGCCAAGCTCCACTCTTAAGGATGTCTTAACAAGACAGGGGAGATACCTCCTGACCCACCCCTACTTTTGTGGAGAGAGAAACACCTTCAACTGAGCCAGTTTTTGCTCAGCACTGAGTCCCCACCCCATTCCTTCTGAGGTCTGGGGTGGCAGGAGGAGCTGGGTGGTCCTCAGCTGCACTTACCAGTGTCTGCACCATATGTGGCCTCTGTAGTCTTAAACTCTTCACTGTCTGAAAGACGTCGAGAATCCCTTCTGCCTTCACCCTTTCCAGGACAGTGCTCAGGGCACAGAAGGTTCCTGTTCTTCCTGCTCCGGCACTGGCAAAGAGAAACCAGAAGGTAAAGGAAACCATCCATCCTGGCCATCTTGGCTTTGCCCAGGGGACAATTCTTAGGGGAACCCCTGGAGGAGCCAACGGTCCTGCCTCTCCCACTTGAGGTAGGACACGCTCTATGAAGCCTCTTTGCTCAGCTGAGCAGGAAAACCCCCTATCACATCTGTCCAGGCTGTTCCTGCTCAGCCCAAGCCTTCTGAGGGACCCTTGAGCCCAGCTCCTCGTGGAGCAGGTCCCCTTGGAAGGGTGGCCAAGCCCTGCTCCACCCGGGTATTACCTGCAGTGCACAGTGATGGGGTGGTTGCCCGACTGCTGCTGCTGCTTCTGCACAGCCGCGATGATGTTGATCATCCCCTTCCCATCTCCAGGGATCCCAACTTCTGGCCAACCATGGAAATGAAACTGCCGAATCTGTCGGCTCTTGTTTTCCTGGTGGAAGAGGTCAGGAAGTTGGGTGGGAGACCCACAGCAAGAAACCCACCAGCTCAGGGCTCTGGGAAAACCTTCTGCTTAGGAAAGCTGTTCGCTTGTGGAGGGGGAGGACTCCCGTGGCAAAGAGCAGGGCTGGACACAGGGAATGGGGAGGAAGAGGGAGGCTGGGTGGTGGGCACAGGGACAAGGAGGAGGATGAGGGCTGCTGGGTGGCAGTGGGGCAGAAGAGCTGGATGAGAAGAGATCAGCAGGACAGGGACCCTCACAGGTGGGAGGTAACCGTCGGGAAGAAGGTGGGCATGGTCAGTTTGGGAGTGCCAGGGGGATGATGGAGCTGAGGGAAGGTTCAACACTTGCAAGAGGAGCCACCAAGCACCACAACACCACAGGGGTTGATGGAAGCCAAAGCCAGGAGCACCCAGAGCTCCCCAGGAGGAGAAGGCCAGACTCTTACCCTGGTGTTCGTTACCAGCAGGTCCCGCACTGTGTAGCTTTCACACTCCTCCTCTTTCTTCAGCTCCACAGTGATGTCTCCATAGGACACTGAGCCATCAGATGGCCAGTACTGGGCACACTTCTCCTGAGAAAGCATTACAGGAGGAGACAGGGTGAAGACCCACTACTCTTCTAGTGGCCTTAAATGGAATGAGTCTTCTCCTGCAGCTGGAAGTTGCCCAAAGCCATGTGGGATCTCACAGAACCACAGACTGGTTTGGGTTAGAAGGGACCTTAAAGATCATCTAGTTCCAACCCCCCTGCCACAGGCAGGGACACTTCCCACTAGATCAGGTTTGGGTTCCACTCTGGGACATGGCTCAGTGGGCATGGTGCTGTTGGGCTGACGGTTGAACTTGATGATCTTAGAGGTCTCTTCCAAACTTAATGATTCTAGGTTGCTCCAAGCCCCATCCAACCTGGCCTTCAACACTTCTAGGGATGAGGCCTCCCCAGCTTCCCTGGGCAATCTGGGCCAGGGTCTCACCACCTTCACAGGAAAAAAACTCCTTCCTAATCTCCAGTCTAAATCATCCCTCCTCCAGTTTGAAAGCCTTCTCCCTCATCCCATCACTATCTCGTGGGCTTGCTTCGGAGACAAGATGCCCATTCTATCCAGAGGTGCTTTGAGAGCTGAAGCTCCAGAGTTGGTTCACTGAACATCTCCCTACCCTGGTTCTATTAACATCTGGATTCTTTGCATTAGAAGCAGAGGCTGAGCTGTGTCTCCTGCCTGGCTTTGCCAGAGAAAGGGTGACAGAGCACCCAGCACTGGCAGGGCCGGGCCCACCGGGAGATCTCATGGGATCACACGGATCTGTTCTGTTGGTGCTCCAAGGCAGCTTTCCCTGGGTGCTTACCTGGCCTCTCTCCTCCAGCTCTGTTAGCATCACTATGGAGCAGGATTTCCACTCCCAGATCATCCTCCAGAAGTCCTCTATCGTGTGCTGCAGTGGCCCCTGGCTGGCGATGTAGGAGTCCTTCTGGCGATAACCCTGCCGTGGGGAAACAAGGTGAGTGCCTGGTCAGCAGCACCTGGAGGTCAGGAGCACTGGCAGGGACACCCTTGGACACTGTCAGGTTACCAAGCCCAGTGAAGTTTTGGGAGCATCATGAATAACAAACAGCCTGGGCAGAGCAACCTGCTCTCATGGTGGGCTCCATCCCCACACATGGGCATCATCAGCCTGCTGCTGGGCAGTGGAGGTGCCACCATCCAGAGCTTTCCCATGGTAAAACCTTTTTCCTTCAAGAAATGCAGCTGGAGGAGGGACACATCCCCTGCAAGTGCATGGAAACACAGCCTGGTCTGGGTTGGGAGGGAACTTTAGAGGTCTAGTCCAGCCCCTCTGCAGTGAGTGGGGACACCTCCCACCAGTCCAGGTTGCTCCAAGCCCCATCCAACCTGCCCTTCAACACTGCCAGGGATGGGGCAGCCACAGCTTCCCTGGGCAACCTGGGCCAGGCTCTCACCACCCTCACAGCAAAGAATTTCTTCTTAATATATCATCTCAATCTCTTCTCTTTCAGTTGGAAACTGCCTTCCCTTGTCCCATCACTCCCTGTCCTTGTCAAAAGTCCCTCCCCAGCTTTCCCCGGTGACATTCCCCTGTGCCCTGGTTGCAGACTGTGACTAAAGATGCTTCGTCATTTGGAGCTCGTTGTTGAAGCAAAGTTCAGCAGAGGCAGGAAATTAAATCCTGGACAAAAATGGCTTGGGTGACATTCCAGCTCTTTGCTCCAGAGGCAGAACCAGGTGGCTACTCCCAGCTGCGTTGGGTCGGATGCTCACGCAGGCAGAGCAACCCATGGGGATCCAGCAAAATATGGGATGTTGTCAGTGGGATTATACTGGGTTTACTGGTTCAATCCATGGCTGTAATTGCCCTTTTTTTGGGGGAAAAAAACCCCAATCCTGCCAGTAGGAGATGAAAACATGAATTGGGCATTTTTGCAGCTGGTACTGCTGCATGAAGGTAAAAGCTCAGAGGAGGTGCCCCCTGAAGTCAACTGGATTATTCATGGGAAAAGGATGTGCAATCACTTCCCTCCTGCTGGGAGTGAGGAAAGCACTTAACCTCCCTGTCTCACCTCCTCCCTTCACCCAGACAGGTGAAATGGGATTGACCTGCTTTTTCTCAAGAGGTTTGGGATTCATGTTTTGCTCCACAACCTAATCGAGCTGATGTTTTCTGACCAAATGACCAGTGCTGTAGAGCAACCATCTCCATGGCTACCTGCATCTGCTTCTCCAAAGCCATCACCAGAGCCTCGAGTTGCAGAAGTGAGACCAGGATCTGGTCAAGCTCCAACTCTCCCACCATCTGTGGCTCACAAGGAAACCACATACAGTTTACTGGAGAAAGGAACTAGCACCATCCGGTGACAAAACGCCAAGCCAAGTGGAAGGAGCCTCACAAAGCTCAGAGAAGAATTGCTGTGGGACAAATCTTTTCCCTTGGAAGCAGAGTGAGGTGAAGAGATTCCAATGGGAGAAAGTGGCAAGAAGATTCAAGACTCACATCAATGAAGGAAGCATTTACATAGTCTGTGTTCTCTTCACCCCTCTTCACTGGAATGATTACTCGGTTGAACTCATCTGCAAGAGAAGTGAAATGATCTGAGCTTTGGGGAACACCTTCAAAGCAGGACCCCTTGATTACCATGCATGGTCTTCAGTTGAGAAGGCACCAAGCCCCAGGTGAGAGGACAGAGATATGGGGAGTCCTGTGTTTCTAGCACCTGACTGGGACAAGAAGACTCAGGTCTGTCTCATGCTGTGCCCTGGTTTGGGGAAGGCGAAGGGGATGCTGAGGACTCCAGAAGCAGGACCTTCTCAACACAGGGACTCCCTTCTCCCTCAAGGCAGACAACTTCAGCAGCATAAACTTGCTAACAAAGCCATGGCAGGGACAGGGCAGAACAAAAGCAAGAATGCGCAGTGAGAGATTCAGCCATGAGAAACCAACTGCTCTTGTCCCTGCCCCATCCCTTCATGCTACCCCTGGTTGAGCAGGGGTTGGACCAGATGACCTCCAGAGGTGCCTTCCAACCTCAACCACTCAGAGTCTGTGCGTACTCCAGAGCTGGTTGAGGCTGAGGTTGGAAGGCACCTCTGCAGGGTCACCCAGAGCTGGTTGTCCAGGACTGTGTTCAGACAGATTTTGAAGATCTCCACAGGTGGAGACTCCACAACTTCCCTGGGCAACCTGTGCCCGTGCTTGGTCACCCTCACTGCCAGGAAGTGTCTCCTGATGTTCAGAGGGACCCTCCTGTGTCTCAGTTTGTGCCCATTGCCCCCTGTCCTGTCACTGGGCATCTCTGGGAAGAGCCTGGCTCTGACCTCTGCACCATCCTTCAGGTGTTTACAGGCACTGATGAGACCCCCCTGAGCATTGTCTTCTCCAGGCTGAGCAGTCCCAGTTCTCTCAGCCTCAGAGCAGACATGTCCCAGGCCCTTCATCATCTCCGTGGCCCTTTGCTGGACACTCCCCAGCATGTCCTTGTCTCTCTTGTACTGGGAAGCCCAGCATGGACATGGTGCTCCAGGTGTGGCCTCACCAGTGCTGAGCAGAGGGCAGGGTCACCTCTCTTGGCCTGCTGGCAATGCTCTGCCCCACACAGCCTAGGACACCACTGGCCTTCTCTGCAGCAAGGACACATTGCTGGCTCATGGTCAACCTGGTGTCCACCAGGACACCCAGGTCCTTTCCTGACCAGCTGCTTCCCAGCTGGGTGGCCCCAGCACATTCTGGTGCCTGGGGTTGTTCCTCCCCAGAGGCAGGACTTTGCACATCTCCTTGTTGAACACCATAAGGTCCCTCTTGGCCCATTGTCTCCAGCCTGACTGCTGCCCCCACAGCCACCCAAATGGTCCCCACCCTCACCAGGTTTGCTTTCCCCAGGCAGACAAACCAGTCTTACATGGAATTATCTGAAGCACTCTGTTCTTCTTCATGTTTGCTGGCAAGTTGCCCGTTCTCATCTTGTCATTCTGAATTTTGATTGACGTGAGCTTCTGCAGAGGAAGGAGTGAACAGGGACAGCTTTCAGAGCCACCCCAGGCCAGGCAAGCTCATGGTGGTCCCTGCAGCCCAGCACCACCACAGCAGATCCACCAGGACAAGAACCATGCTCACCTTGAACTCTTCTTCCAGCCCGTTGCTGCTGGTCCCTGGCACTTTGTTGTAGATCTTCTGGAGGTGGATCTCTAACGAGGTCACCTCCAGCTCTGTGTCACCATAGAGATAGTGCTCCAGAAGTGCTTGGTATATGAACACATACTGCATCTGCAGGGGTTGTAGGGAGAAGCCATCAGCCTCTGCTCAGCTCATCCAGGTGTCCACACACACACTGGCTGCAAACCCACCTCCCCACCCAAGCTTGCTGGGGGTGGCACCTTCTGAGACCCCAGACTTGATGATCTTAAAGGACTTCTCCAACCTAAATCATACAATCATGGAATCACAGGAAGGTTTGTGTTGGAATGGACCTTTAAATATCATCTAGTTCCAACCTCCCTGCATGGGCAGGGACACCTCCCACCAGCCCAGGTTGCTCCAAGCCCCATCCAACCTGCCCTTCAACACTGCCAGGGATGGGGCAGCCACAG